GAAAATCTAAAAATTTTCCGAGTGGAAAATTATACCAATTAAACACACTTGAAATCATTTTTCCTACAAAACATTTTCTAAAAAAATCTTTTCCCTGTAAAACATTTTCTTTCCACCCATTTTCCACCCTTCCAATCAAACGCACCCTAACTATCAAATATTTTCCACAAAACAAATACGTAAGTGAAAAATCTTGTGATAGAAATATGAAAAGCAGAAATCGTCACTTGTCATTTGTCAATAAGCACACTGAATTTTGCAATTTTCATGGGATTTTGAGTTCATTCTCGATTAAGTTAATACCCCTCTAGTAAAACAAAACAAACTTCTTAATAATAAAGGAAAAAATAGTAAAAATAAAGGATTACACTTTTAGCCATGATTGGTTTTGTTAAAAAATATATATATATATGTTTTTAATAAATTTTAATCAAAATTAATGAAATGTGTGGTTGAAAAGTTAATAGAAATTGTGAATCTCGTGAAATATGTGATTGGAAGTGGAATTGAAAATAAAATAAAATATGAGGGTCAAAGTTTAGAAGTTAGAATTAGCAAGCAATAATTAACTTACTTCGAAAGAGATTTTTATAGGCCATAAGAAGGAAACCAAATAAGTCGACCTTCCATTCTACTATGGTTTCTTTAGATAAAGATGATGGGAACTGGTTATATTTTTAAAGATATTAGCTTTTATCTCAACTGTGTAGTTTTTCATAACAGATTTTAGTCCTTAGAGAATTTAGATTTTCAAGATCCTTAATTTTAACAATTTCTTGATCTCAATGATGCCAATGTCTCTCTTCCTTTAAAAATAGTCACATGTAAAATGGAAGAGAAGGACAAAAACTGAATATAACGTATGGTGTTATGTTGGAGGCATTTATAGTGCAAAATGGTGTTTTGGAGATGGCCTTAGAGAATAGTCATGGGACAACATATGATGCTTAGTTTTAAAAATCAAATCGGGTTGACCTATTAACTTGCGATGAAGCTGGTTTGCTTGCATTTTTTCACGTGTCAAGTATGTAATATTAAACCGTACTCACAATTTAAACATAAAAAAATTAACTTTTCTCTTTAGCCCCAGTTTAATTTAGCTAAAAAGTTGATAAAAATTCAACTCAAAATTAACAATTAATTTTAATCACCTATTTCATGTATTCACTGTTTATCAACATTTTTACAGCATATTTTATTAATTTTTATTTAAATTTACTAAAAATTGATTTTTAACGAAACAACACAGGTAAATTGTTGAATATTCTAGGAAATTTAGTAGAATGTGAACTTATTGAACACCAACAAATTCAAAATCACGTGGTGGAATAATGTAGCGTTCACACTACACTACATATATTTGGGGTCCACTTGCTTGACCCTTTCAGACAAGCGTCGACAACGGGCCAAGTCTTGATAATGCCAACTTCTGTTCCAATTTTTTTTTCTAATTTTCTTTCGCTTAGGCCATGTTTGATGAATATTAAAATTTAGATTTTAATTTAAATCAAAATCAACAATTAATTTTAATTATATGTTTCATAGAATTTACAACTTTTCAGTCACACATTTCATTAAGGGTGTGTTTAAATATATTTATTTTCCATGAAAAATGTCACTTTTCACCAAATTTCTACTTTGGAGTATTTGATTGTTATTTTTTTCTATTAAAAATATTTTTCAACTTTCGAAAATGTCTAATTTTCTTTATTTTTAAAGAAAACATTTTCTTTTCTAAAAGATAATTTCCATACCAATCAAACACACTCTAATTTTTATCAAAATTGAGTAAGTTTAATTTTAATCCCCAACAAACAAGGGCTTAATCTATTTTTTATTTTCTGTTGTAAATTGAAGATTACGAACAATGGTAAATGACCAAAGTGAAACAGCCATTCAATTCAAAGACAGCTCGACCTTGAGTGCCTCAAGAGCCATGCCACTACAAGGTAGAGCAGCATCAAAGATCACTTCCAAGGAACAACTTCACACAATGAATAAAGACCCGCATCATTTCCATACCTACTGACCTCAATGTCATGTCAACAAAAGATGAATTATGCTACATTTACATAAAAATGGTTCAAGTGGTTCACAGAAACTCACAAAAATGCAGGGGGTGGTTTTTTTTTTTTTTTTTTTT